AATTTTCAATCTAAAGCTTGTATATAGAGTGGATTCCAGTAGTCATTTCATTTACATTGCTGTAGAAACACTTCAGATACCCAAAGCATACTCTAAAACCAGCCAAAAAGACTCAAGAATTAAAAATTATCATTTAAAGACAACCCCTACTTTTCTGTTTGCTTTGTGGTATAGCAGGTAAATATTACAATTTAATTGTTTACTCTTGCCTATCAATTAAGCTTCTATGGGAACCTTATCGAACACTTGGCATGCACTCTTTACTATCGACTAACCAACAGTCATCAAGCAAAAGGTAACAGCTTTTGATGCCCAAGAGCCAGAAGCATCTAAACCACATGATTTTCACTTAGTTTATTCAAATCCTCTACATATGAAGGTAACAAATCACAAACCTTGCACTCCGGAGGAAGAGGGAACAGAGGAATGAGGGAAGTGCGGCAGTCGGATGCACAGTCGTCGGGATGCTGCTGCTGCTGCTGCTGGCCTGCTGTGCTGGTCAGAAGATAGAAGAAAGCAGTCTGAGACTTGAGTTGGGCACTTGGGCTGCTGGCCTCCTTCGGCTTCTATCAGGTTGTTTAGGAGAATGTTTGGGGGAAAATGTTTATTAGCAGTCACTGCGACCTAAAAAAAAAAAAATGAAAAATACCTTAAAATTATATTATTTAATAGTAATTTTTATTTTAAAAAATAATTAAAAACAATATTATTTTATTTTTATATTACTTTATTACAATAATATCAATTTTTAATTATTTTTTATAAATTCAACTAATAAACATTGATTATTAATGTCAGATTTTTTTTTTTTATAAGAAAATGGAAAAATTATATTAAATAAAAAGGAAGTAAAGAAAAAACTTCATTACAGGGCATATAGCCTAAAGCATTATAATTTGAAGACAAAATCAGAAACATAACCTATAGCATTAATAATATATTTAAACTATACTCATAACAAATATAAACAATTAAGTAAAGAGAACCATCTATAACTAAAAATTGCAATTGCAATTGCTGTATAAATTAAATAGGGCTACTAAGGTAGAAAGGAAAGTCTTTCTGTGCATCAGAAGTTACTAAACGTTCTCACCTATTTAACCAGCTTCATAGGGAAAGCAAGGATTCCGACAACAAATAGTCCTCAACCTATAAGTTACCGCCCAATCTATTTCTAAAAATTAACCAACAAAAGGAAGGGCATAGTCCCCCTGTGCAAGCACAATGCAGCTCAGCCTTGAATACTATTCTTCCCTTGCAGAACACAATCGACCACCCCAAAAGTATCCTACTCCTTTTTGTCAATCCTCCGTACAAGCACAAGCATCCCAAGCGCCACTGTATACCCCCGATTAGGTTTCCAACTTTGCTAAACCTTTGCAAACCCATACTGTCAAACCCCATTAAGGGAACTAGAGCCCCTTTGCCAACCATAACCAGCATCACCCATAACATCCCTTTCCCTTTGAATTCAGTGCCTAATCAAAAATTGGAATGAACTAACCTCGCTGAATTTGATCTCTGCCAAGATCCCATCCCAGGAGATGCGCCAAAACGAGGTTCTTACACGATAAATAGGAGAAACCCAACCACTAGCAGGATCAACTCCCTCACTATGCTAGTCGGAGTCGTCAGAAAACACCCCCAGATGTGGGTCTGAATATGCCACTACCTTGTGGTCCCTTGGGTTGAAGTTTCCAAAACAAGACAAGCGATGAAAGTGGAGAAGAGAGCAAGAAAGGGAAGGAAAGGGTAAGAGGAAAGCAAAAAAAGAGGAGCTCCACTATCGAAAAGAGACCCTAGGGAGGAACCTGCAGTCTCTACCCCAACCCTAAGTAGAGCACGGGAGAAAAAATGCTATTAATGTCAGAATTTTTAATTTTGCAGCTAATATGTAAAATTAGTGAGGGAACGCCGGCATCATTCACCATGGACATAGATACAAGCCTTTCTTGGTATTCTACTTTTCTTAATAAAATGAATGTAGGAGAGAAGCTAAAAAATCTTCTATTTTTAAGTACTTAAATTTCTTATTGTTATTTGACCGCTTTTATACGCATTTAATCTTTGATGATTTGACTTTGTTTAAAGGCAGCGGCATAAAAAAAAAAACAAGAGAGGAGCCACTAAAAAAAAGATTTGTTATCGTTTAAGAAAATGTAATGAAATCACATGTGTCGTACTAATTTTGAAAGTTTACAAGTATCCTTTTTATTTTCAGCAACT